CTCATGCCATACTTAAATGCTTCGGCCGCTAAAGGATCCAGAATGAGTTGCATACCCTGAGGATCGTCATCAGCATAATCTAAGTCGGTCGCGCGCTCACCCGGTAGAAGCTCTAAGCCAAAATGTTGGAAACCTTCTAGAGCATTCGACAGAACGCCTTCGATCGCGTAGTTGAAGAGGAATGGAGACATAGGGCAGCCCTGTCGCACACCGCTAGTGACAGTGAATTGAGAGGAAAGCTGGCCATAGACCCTCACTCTGCCGGATGCACGAAAGTAAAGTGCTTGTAAGATGGCGGTATATTTCTCTGGCACCCAGTTTTTGAGCAAGAAAGACCACAAACCGGGTAGATCAACGAGGCGAAATTCAACGGCGGGTGTGTTTTTCAATTAAACGACGGCCTATGGATGAAATCGCATGGTACTCCTCCACGAGAAGCAAAATAGCCAATCAACTCAATCACCTTCCGTCCTGTCGTGAGCAGCAGAGCGTGTCCCGAACTAGCAAGCAGGGATCGATCTATGAGAAGCAACTTCAATTGGCATCTATAAGTGAATACTTGTTCGCACTAAAACGGATCATATTCTGGATCAACCGTATGTTTATATTGGCAGCACGGGCTTACAGTACCATGTGGAGCTGTTATCATGACAGATCGCTAAATCGATATTTTGAACAAAGAAAAAGGCATACAGAATACCTATAGAGCACTGCTCCAGTTTCCGGCTTTGTGCTACACAACCATTAGACTCTTCAAGTTGGAACAAGAATCCGTGAACTCTTACGTTCAGGTATTATGAAAAAAGATTGTTAGTTATCTGACCTAAGAAAATGTCATACGTTTTGTTTGTCTGACATGTAAAACAAGGTCATCGTAATCAGAGACACCAAATGCGACTGAGAAACCGGTAGCCCAGTCGTTTTTACCACGGACTAATGACAGATCGGTCGCAGGTTCGAGCCACTCAGGAGTCAGATGGAATGCGCAATGCCAACGATCCCCGAAAGGATGAAACAGCCGCACAGTGCTTTTCCGGCCGTGTGATGGTTGCCTGGCCGAGTCTAGATGTGAGGATTTTCAACTTATACTTGCCGAAAAGCCCGAGAACTTGTTCCAGCCCCATTCTGGCTCACGGTGTGGAACAACGAAAAGTCAATCAACGGAGCGGCCAACAGACTCACTGGACTGCAAGCACATTAGAAAAGAATAACGCTAAGCTGCTCAACCTATCTTGGAACGAATGGTGTACCGTGAATGCACAGATGATGTTCGAGACATTATGGAGATGGCACATACATGTCACAGGATTGATAACTAAGAAACAACCATTGTTACTAATACGACGGCAACAACAAAGCAATTTCTTCAGCATATGTGCTACACAGAGCCAAAGGTACGGATGATATGAGTGATTGAAATCAGCGGTGCTGTGACCCTCAACGTTTCAGGCAAGGTGCCCAACCACATTGGAGCAATGTAGTCGCATTTATCATAGCAATCGGCCAGATACCATTTTGACATTCCAACCTGCGAGTTTCACCCTATGGACGAATACCAAAGGATGAATTTGAGGAAAAGTTCACTTCTTCCCACGAATGTTGACTCCACGAGCTCATCGATTTTGTCGATTCAGGTCTGGTTAGGGCATTGTAACACGCGGCCTGGTACCTGTGAAAATGCTTTGCAACGCGTTCGTACGTAGTGTTGACAGCTTCAATTTGATCCGATCGACATATGATTGCATTAGTAAAACACATGTAATTCCTGGTCATCTCGAAACAAGCTTGTGATGGAAGTGTCCTATCAAAGTGAAAGGATGGGAGACGGACACAACGGATTCGATCCCTGGATACGTAACGGCCGATGATCGTGTGGGTTCCTCACGTTTGTTTAACAGAGTCAAAGAAGGAATATCATCGACTCAAGTATTATTGCTTATTTAAGTAAGGAACATATCGAGGAATATGGCGTGTCAAATATGCTGTAATTTTCCCTGTTGACTCTGCTTGTCGCAGAAAAACGGAGTTTTGCGATAAGGTTTTTCTCGTGGTGCCAGCTGGGTGGTTCGGGTTTAACCTTTTCCAGCAAATAGTTCGACGGCAGTGTTCCAGGACGTGGTGCGTTTTCGCCTGGCAAACGTTCTCCCTATGAAAAGCCACAGATGTCTGCTTAACAACACTGTGGCGTGGCGGATGTGACTCGCCACGAAAAATAAAAGTCACTCGGACAATCTTATCAAATCCAGAGACGACAAACATTCGTTTAGACACTGACGACGCGATCGAACTCATTCAAAAGAAGGGCAACACATTTACACATACAATCAACACACCTACCTACATACCTACACTTATGGATCCATATGTAATAAAATCTTATTATACTATCGCACATTACTTGTTCAAGTGTTGTACTATTACAATGATCATCCGTTTATTGGCGTGCCTCGCGTAGCTGAGAATAAAATTTATTTATATTTAAATACTAACTGTAATAACGTGCCCACAGGGTGAAAAACGTAATTGTGCTGGGAGATCCACAAATAGAATGATCGTTCAGAAAGCGTTGAGAAAGTAGAAAGACATGAATGAGCACTCCGCGATGCTGTGGTCCAGGCGTTCGCTCTGCAATTTTTACGCCGTGGCGGCAGCTCATCCGGCAAGCAAGTGCCAATGATTGCGTAACAAAAAATCGATTGTGAGAAGTACAGGTATACTGTTAACACCTTGTAGTTGGTAATCACATTATGCTAGAGAGCACAATAACGGGTTGATAAATCGTGACGCCAGAGTTAATACAATGGCCGATCAGTGGTGCAGGCGACCCAATAAAGAGGACACGCACGCACGTGCACGCGCACGTACGCACAAATTACACCAAGTCATCTGGCTACTTGGTCGCAAACATTCAGTACATCACGAACCAGCCACGTGCAGGTTTAGACAGCGAATACACCGCCCCTGCCGCCGGGTGGTCGGAAGGACTACCATGCCAGGCTGGTAAATAAAAGTTAAACAATGCGTAGTTAGAAATTGTCAGTGCGGTTAAGAAGCACGAGTACTTTAGTAAATCAATCACATGGCAATCGGAAATTTCCGATGATATTCTGAAGAAATTATGACCAAATTTCTTGATGTACATAAAGCGATTGACCGGGTCCCCCATAATCTACTTTTGGGAAAGCTTGAGATCGACCGTAGAACATAACCCTTTTGAAAATGGGCAAGAAACAAGCAATCAAAATTGGCAACAGCTTGGCCGAAATTAAACGAATAACCACCGTGGAAATCCAAGGAAGTGCGTCAGGCGCACTTCTGTACATTCTTTGGACAAATGACCTATTCGAGAGTATTAAAACCGTCTACTGTTTCGAACCCATAAAACCTGGTTTCGAGCCAACACACATCCTAGCTGCAGACCTTGACTGATGTTTGGATTCACAGACCGAATGTTTTGATGATCTCCAATCAATGCTAATCCACCGTTTCACCTTCCATGTGGGGGACTGGGTACGTCGGATGTATGACCATACATTTAAGTCAGAAAATCAAGGAACACAGAAGTTGGCACTACAATCACGAAATAGGACAAGTTACAGGGCAATTACGAACCGTCTAATCGACACCGGTCACAGGATAAATAACCTGTGTTTCAGAATACTACCTAGACATAAAAAATGGAGCAGAAACAAACCTAGTTGCCACGGCGGAAGCCGTATGCATACGGATAACATGTCCTGACCTATGTGTTCAGAAGAATGTGGATGAACATCAGACGGGAAGTGACTGCACTCCGTAAACCCATTGTGATCACATGATTGACGTTATGACCACAAGATCAAGCACCTAATCAATTGGATAGTTGTTATAAGGACGAGCACAACAAACCTTATGCCACCGTACATCAATGTAAAAGAATTAATCAAAAACAATTGTTCGTTTGAAGCTTCGTAAATTTGTTAAGCTTTCAACTATTAAACTGCGAATTCATGTATACTCTAATATATCCCCTGTGGACAGAGTCCCTCGGAATTTCGAAAAGTATATGTATTTCGCTAATTATTTTATGAAGGTACGCTTGAACGATTCGCAAAATAATTTCGCCCACATCTGTAATATTTTTCAAAAGGCTTAACTATGACCTGAATCAAAGCAAGCGGTGTAAGTGCAACGTCGGTATTCGTGGAACAAGTTTCTTTTTTTGAAAATTCACCCTATATTTTTTCCATTCAGTTAGACAACTATGACCCGGGTGCCGAAGTGCGGAGGATCTAGTTGCCACAACTAGCGTCACCAGAATAGTAATAAACAAACGACGATAAGAAAATGAGGCTGAACGCGAATAGAACACAAAGAAAATGCAATGAAGACAGGAGTGCGCTAAACTAATGAGTACGGAAAATTATAAATTTCCATATATTCTATTAATTAACAGTTGTGGGAAACCGAGTAAACGAACCCCAATGGCCGCACAATGTCTCATAGTGTCTTCAACTAATAGTGTGGATCATTCCGGAGCAACACACACTAAGCTGGCAGTCACTAAGTGAATTTTCTCAAACCTTGATGACACGTACTCGAACCTGCATGGAATGAGACTCAGCTTTTAAAACAACAAAAGTTTAATTGGAGATGGTTATGATGTAAGAGATCAGGGGGTGTACACCGATTCGGATACCTGTGTGGGGTAGGTGATTGGATCGTTGAAACGGATAGTTACACCCCTTACTGGTTACAAGGCTTTACTGCTTAAAAAAATCGGATCTGTACTGATGGATGTTGGGCAGACGACGTACACATTGGTGCGATGCTGCATTGTGGCGAAGAATAGGTGTTGGATCACAGGTCAGGCGCATCATAGCGAGCGTCATCATGCTTTTTCACTGTGCTCGGATTCTGCTGACCCTATTCGCAATGTACTTGACTGATGGTGCGGGAGTCGAGACTGTGGCTCTCGACGGAGAGACACCCAGGGATACGCCATTGTTGAAGCGGATTATGTTGCAAGTATGGTAATTAGACAAAGCATGTTGGTATCTCGCCTAATTGGTAGGAACAGCTCAGGTGAGGGCAAAAAATAAAAGGATTAGTGTATCGGTTGAAACACAAGTGAGGAAACTAAACGCAACAACGTCAGCTCTGTAAACTTTTCTATCCCCACAAGCAGGTGGCACAGCACACTCCGATAGTGTGCGAAGGAAATAGGGCGAGTTGGAAGAAGATGTGCAACGTGGGTGGAGAAAAACAAACGCAAGCTGAAAAACTCGGCTAGCAAGAAGTTCAGCTCAGCTCAACTCAGTTAACTAACTACGATCCGGGCGATTGAAGTGTGGGGTGGATCCGATTGCTACGGCTCGCGTCGCCAAGGTAACAACAACAAATACCAAAGGTAAGAAAATGAAATTGAACGGAAATGGAATGCAAGAAGTTAAGGCGTAGCCTTGCAAGTCTGAGTGAATGAAGTGTAAAAGCACGCGTAAACATCTTCAATGACGTCTGGCTTAGAAAGTGTTACGATTGCACGGTTATCCATCGCCGACACAAATGCTCACATATGGCTAACTGACTGTCAGCCTTGATAAGCTGCACATGTATTATTGGGTCTCAGTTTCGACCTACTGGCCACATAGGAAGTATTAAATGTTCAAAAAGCTGTAACGTACAACTGCGCGCTCAATTGCGTCCTTTGGGCACGCGACAACTGGTTAACCGCGAACGCAGATGATCAGTCGATGATAGTCCAATAGAGGATATTACATCAAGTCTCAACCAGTTGCGCGGAAAGGGAATGTTAACGACGCGAAAAACAAAGTAGTTGATCCCTGACCCTAAACGAATGCTATCCGTATCATCTTCGAGTCCGGGGTATACGCGCCCCAATAGGTTAGTGAGTTTTAGGGGGATTAATTATTTTAGAAAGCGCTTGTCGCAGCTAGACAGGTAGACAGACACGACATATGCAGGAAAGCGCTAGATGGCCGTTTCGTCATATTAGGACTGGTCGATAGCGCGCATCTGCTAAATTCCATGGGATCCGAACCCATGACTTTGCTCTTACGAGTCAAAAACTTATGTTACTGAGCCACGGGTAAAGGCGGCGGAAAACAAAAACTGCGATATGCCGCGACCCATCCTCCACTGTCATATATATTATGAACGCGCAGAGCACAGGGTTGGCCCCCAAAGCGACGACATCCCATGTAAGCCAGCATTAATTGAGATGGTATGTACGCCGATTAGGCGACAAGTGGTTATTAGTGATTAGTGGGAGTTTTATTGGGGAGTAACCTGCATGTTAGTGGAGGAAAAGCCGAACTAAATAACAGCAGGCAATCAATTATGTTGGTCCGCTGTGGTCACCCATGACTCAGTGGCATAAGTCGCTTACTCGTAAGAGCAAGGTTCGGATGCGCGCTAATGACGAGTCCCAATAGGACGAAACGCATTCTAGCGCTTTCCTGGATGTTTGATGGCTGACTGGTTGAGTCTAGCTACGACGAATCTTCTCAGACACAAAATGCGTTTGACGTGTGTCGTGTTTAAATACTTTGCCTTGTTTTTGTCCTCGATTCGCTTATCCTACTCACACTTCTATTTAGCACTCGTTGGCCTAGCATGTGATCTTGCATTTGATTGGTTACAATGCGAACCTCCATCGATTTAATGGTACTGCGCGTGTGTGCGGCCAGTTTCCTCCATACATACGTTCTGGTGCTGCTCTGGTCTGGTGCTTTTTCAGGATACAACAAATTGGCGTCGCGTGTTACCGATGTCTTTGCATGCTACTGCCCCTTCACCGTT